ACTGGTGGGCCTGTCCTGGGCCATTGGTGGCTTCTGGGCATGTCTTTTGCTGCTCCATTTCTGCCTCCTCCCTAAGAGATGTTTCTTCTCTCCCTGCAGGAGAAGCAGGAGTATAAGCAGAAGCTTGCGAAGGAGCAGGGGTCTCTGAGGGAGCAGCTGCAGGTGAGCGGGCTGGGGCGTACCCCCTCGTGCTGCGTGGGTGCTGCTCTCCCTCCGTCTCAGCACTTGTTTGGCTTTTCTCCCAAAGATTCACATCCAGACCATCGGGATCCTAGTGTCTGAGAAGACAGAGCTGCAGACAGCCCTGGCCCACACTCAGCAGGCAGCCAGGCAGAAAACAGGTGGGAACCAGTGCCCCATCCTGCAGCCGGGCACACGGGCTGGCCTCCGGTGGCTCCCCTCTGGACTTTGTTTCTGTTGTTCCAGGAGAGGCGGAGGATCTTGCTGGTCTCCTGCAGTCTTCCCAGCAGCGCGTCGGGGATCTGGAGCGGACGCTGTGTGCTGTCTCCACGCAGCAGAAACAGGCGGACAGGGTGAGCCCAGCAGCCAACTAGCCCCTGGAGGCGCAGGTTCCCCAAGGGGGAGTAAGCCTCAAGGCCCCTCCCCCCCTTTTTATGTTTTATATCTTCTATTTGAATCCTCACCTGAAGATATGTTTTTTAATTGACTTTAGAGAGAAGGGAAGGGATATGGAGAGAGAGAGAAACATTGATGTGAGAGAGAAACATTGATCAGTTTCTTCCTCTACGCACCCCGACGGGGGGGATCAAACCTATGACCCTTCGGTGCACAGGACAGTGCCCCAACCAGCTGAGCCACACTTGCTGGGCTCAAGGTCCCATCTGTAGAATGTGGTGTCTGCTGCCCAGAAGGCAGCACAGGCCGCCTCACTGCTCTAAAGTTGTGTGGGTTGGGCCCAGCCAGTGTGGCTCAGTGGTTGAGTTGGCCCATGAACCAAGAGATCGCTGGTTTGATTGCTGGTCAGGAGACATGCCCGGGTTGCGGGCTTGATCCCCAGTAGGGGGTGTGCAGGAGGCAGCCGATTGATGTTTCTATCTATCCCTCTCTCTCTTTCCCTCAATAAAAACGTCTTAAAGTTGTGTGGGTTGTTAGAAGCAGAGGGGATGAGTTGGTTGCCGTGGGTGTTGTGCTGTGCTGTCCAGAGCCAGCACTGGATGCAGAACCGAGAGCCTACAGGCCAGCTCTGCCCTTAATTGGCAGTGGGCCTTGGCCAAGTCCTAGGTGTTTGGGCTGCAAAGGCACAGAACAGCATTTTTCATGTTACCCTGTCGTAGAAAGGGGGGGAAGTGTGCATGCGTGTGTGTGACATATAAGCCAGATCTGAAAGAGTTATAAAACCCAGGGGAGAACAGGGTGGCTGGGAGACAGTCACTCATGTGCCTTCTGAGTTTGGGACTATGTCAGTATATCACCCATTCAAAAAATGAATGAAGATTACAATAACAATTTAATTTCCCCCTCATATCGTGCCCCCAGCCCAGGAAGAAAATGTGGGTAAAGACTCAGACAGACCTGAGTGTTCAGTCCTTGTTCTAAATGATGTTAGGCAAGTGAATGAACTCCTAGTGCTCTGGGTTGTTCACCTGTAAAACGGAAATAATAATAGTAACTTTCCTGGGGTGATTGTGAAGGTTCAGAGGTCAGCATGGGGCCTGGTAAAGTGCTCAGTAAGGGTTCAAAAGTGACACGGGTTCGAATCCCATCACTGCCACACAAAAGCAAAAAAAAGTGACGCAGGTGGTAGCAGCAGTGATAGTGGTGCCGCCTGCTGTCCTGGGCTGCGGCCGGCCGGCTGTGGATCAGCTCTCTGCCGGCCTGTCCCGCCCTTACTGAGTTCTGATGGAAAGCAAATGGGAACTTGGGCTGGAAGTGCCCTGGAAAATGTAGAGCGTGGCTGCAGGTGAGAGGGTTGCTGTTACTGCTGTTACCGCCGGCTCTCCTGCCGCCTGCCTGTCCCGACCTCGTCTTCCCGTGTTTGCAGTACAATAAAGAACTCACCAAAACCCGGGACGCGCTGAAGCTGGAGCTGTACAAGAACAGGTAGGATGGGGCTGGGGGCCAGGGCCTCGGCCAGGTGGTGTGCTGGGAAGCAGGAGGGTAAGGAGCAGGGTGAGGGTGAGGAGGTCGCCCAGGTTTGGACATGTGCTCAGCAGGCTCTAGTCCCTGCTGTGCCGACTCACACTTGGCTTTGTGCAGCTCATGTTCCCCCTCTGGCCTATCACTTGTGACTCTTCACCCTGGGGTCCCTCCCAGTACCACTAGTCTGTGGTTCTCTGTGAGGCAGGGGGCTGATCACCAGAGTGACCCTTTCTGTCCTTCATTCCTGCCTTTCTCCACTGCCTCTCACAGCAAAACTAATGAAGACCTGAAGCAGGAGAACTCGGAACTGCAGGAAAAGCTCCGGGTGCTGGTGACCGACAAGGAGGCCGCGCAGCTCAGGGTGGAGGAGCTGAGAAAGAAGCTGGAGATGTCGGAGCTGCTGCTGCAGCAGGTGAGGGGCTGGCCAGGGAGTCCAGGCCCCCCAGCTGGGGCTGGCATCTCTGTGGTCCCTGAGGGTGACCCCAGCCAGGAGCTGGGAAATGGGGATCCTGGCTCTGGTCCTGCCATAGAATCCTCTAGGTTTTGATAAAAATCTGCAACTCAGGGCCCTCCCCAGAACCGTGGAATCTGAATCTCAGAGAGAGAGGGAGCTTTCTCAGTTTCTCCCCGCCATTTGAACAAATTTAAACCCATCACATTAGCCAGTTATTTACTTGTAAATGTAGGCAGGAAGGGCTTTCTCGCCTTTGTTTTTAAAAGCACCCTGGCTGAAAACCATGGTTTTATAGATGACATTGACCAGGCTGGCCCATGAGTCTGTTTTCTTCTTCTTGGGGGCCAAGCCACCAGGTGGTCAGGGTGCCCGGGTCGGAGAGCTCCTCCTCCAGTTTCTCCACACTGAGCAACTCTGCCTTCATGGAGCTAACTTCCTTCCACGGGGCCTGTCTTCCCTGCGGAGCAGCACAGGAAAGGTCCCAACTCTTTCCCAAGACAGACCTTCAACACTTTGAAAGGGGTCGTGTGAGTCCCTGTGCTTCCTAAGATCTTTCCTGAGCTGAACAGCCCAGCTCCTTCACGTATTTCTCCTGCTGGCTCCCTCCTTGCTGTTGCCTGGATGTGACCTGTTGTCAGGGCTTCTCTATGATCAGGACCCCAGAGTGAAACACGAGTCTCCAGAGTTGGTCTGGCCTGGGCAGCAGGCAGATCTTACAACCTCCTCCCCTCGCCTCGCATCCATCCCCCCAGGGCAGTCTCTGTGCCTGTCCCTGAGATAGGCCGCCTCCTACATGGCCTGCAGGTGAGATGAGAGGTTAGAGCTTCAGGTGCTTTGAGGTTCAGAGGGCTGCTCCTACTGCTGACCCAGCGGCTCCATCTTGAGGGCAGCACAGTGCAGTCTCTCTATAGCCTTCTGAGGCCCGCAGTGCAGGGTTGATGAGTGAGTGCTGTGTGCGTGTGTCAGACTACTGCGCAGCCTTTTCAGAGTTAAATAGCCTTGTACACAGCGAAGGGCAGATGAGCTGCAGAGCCACGTGCGCCAGAACCCAGACAACCCAACTGTAATGTGCAGGAATCAAACACGTCTGCTGTGTGTAGAAGAGTCTGGAAGGGTGCTCACCAGGTTGGGGTGGGTGGGGGCCAGAGGAAAAGTTGGAGGATTTTGAACACATTGTTTGAATTGTTTACAGTGAGTACTTAGTGTAAGTACTAGTAACGCGAGGATGGAGCTCTTTATTGGCCCCGCGTTGTATGCTGATCCCAGTTCAGACCCTTTTGGGGAGCATTGTGTGGAACCACCGGGGCTCCCAGATCTAACCTTGCTTTTAACCTTCCAGTTTTCCAGTCAATCTGAAACCCCTGATAGCAAGGAGCAGTTACAGCGGGCCCTGGAGGAGCGGGCCCAGCTGGAGACTCATGTGGAACAGGTGGGGCCTTGCAGGGGGTGGAGGGGAAAGTGACTCCAGTGCCCAGGAGCTGGTGAGGCTCAGGGCCGGCCCTACTGGCTGACTGCTGCGCCCATCCTTGCAGCTGAAGGATTTGCTGAAGCAGCTGCAGGTGGAGAGAGACCAGTATGCAGAGAATCTGAAAGAAGAGAATGCCCTTTGGCAGCAGAAGATGCAGCAGATGTCAGAGCAGGTGAGATGTGACCTTGGGCCCCCTCCTCAGATTGGTCATATCACTTGTGTGCAGCCAGAGGTGGATGTGTGTGGTGGTGGTCTTTTAAAAAAATTTTAAGTTTATTGGTTTTTGAGAGAGAGAGAGAAACATCGATTCGCTCCACTTATTTAAGCATCATTGGTTGATTCTTGTATGTGCCCTGACAGGGATTGAACCCACAACCTTGGTGCATCTGGATGATGTGCTAACCAACTGAGCTACCCGGGCAGGGCTGGATGTGTGTGTTTTGTAGGTGGGGGCAGAGGGGGAGATGGTCCACAGCCCTTCCTCCACCCCTCCCTCCATTCTCTGTGCTTCGGGCAGATGTGCCAGCTGAGGGAGCAGAAGGAGCACAGTCTGAGTCAGGTGCAGGAGCTGGAGACCAGCCTGGCCGAGCTGAGGAGTCAGATAGGTAAGCCGAGGCAGGAAGGATCTGGGGCAGGACTTGTGTCAGGAGCCGGTGAGGGTGGCTAGAATGCCCCCAAGGAGGTGGGCTGATGGAACACCATTGTGGCAGAGGGAAAGAGGTGTGTACCGGAGTTGGCAAGTCTTGCAGTCTCTCCCTGAGACTGTGTCCCTGTCTGGGAAAAAGGGTAGGGTGCCCACCGTCAGCAACTTAGTGTTGTCTTGAGCCTAAAAACGTATCCTGAAAAATTGAATATCGTATGAGTGTGGGATTATTAGTCAGGAAGCCAGGATTCAGGGCAAGGAAGCCGAGTTAGGAGCTATGGACCAAGAAGAGCATGTTTTGAGACTATAGAGGTGGGAGGCCCTCATTGTATACTTCCTTTCTTAGCTGTCCCCCCACCCCAGGAGGCCCCCGCTGGGCCCTCGGAGGTGGAGCAGCAGCTACAAGCCAGAGCAGAAGAGCTGCAGCAGGAACTGGAGGTCCTGGCAGGGCAGCTGCGGGCCCAGATTCAGGACAATGAAGGTCTGAGTCGCTTGAATCAGGAGCAGGGGCAGCGGCTACTGGAGCTGGAGCGGGAGGCTGAGCGCTGGGGGGAGCAGGCGGAGATGCGCAAGCAGATGCTGGAGGACATGCAGAGCGACCGCACCACCATCAGCCGTGCGCTGTCCCAGAACCGCGAGCTCAAGGAGCAGCTAGCTGAGCTGCAGGACAGCTTCGTCAGGCTGGTACGCAGCCTGGCCCACCCTCCTCCCTTCTCAGGTCCTTTGGTGCAGGGCAAGACACTTAACCCCTCTGGGCCTTTGTTTTCCCACCTTTAAAATGGGGTGTGAAGGTATCTGACCTAGAGAGCCTGCCGATGAATGTGGGGAAGGGGGTTTCCCTTCCCTGAGCTGCAGGAGGCGGGCACCAGGTTCTGGTGTCTCCAGCTGCATTGGGCGGCCACTGATTGTTTCTCTCTGTCCAGACCAACGAAAACATGGAGATCACCAGCACACTTCAGACAGAGCAGTATGTCAAGAAGGAGCTGGCCAAGAAGTTGGGCCAGTTGCAGGAGAAGCTGGGGGAGCTGAAGGAGACGGTAACCCTGCCCCTCGAGGAGGGCTCAGATGGGTCGTGGCCTCTGGGGAGGGAGGCACCTGGGCAAGGACGAGCTGGGTAGCAGGGCCAGAACAGAGGCAGCTCCAGCCTAGGACAGGTGATCCCAGAGCTCAGAGCCTGTGACTGCGTTGCCCCCGCTCTCTGACCTTTGGAGGCGCATAGCCCTGTGCTGTCAGCACCTCCAGCAGAGGCATTGAGCTCGATTAGAGGGGAGGAGGTGTGGACAGTATATATGGATTCTAACCGCAGCCCCACTAGTCACTGTTCACGTCACATCTCTAAGCCTTAGCTTCCTTAACTTAAAGGGGCATTAGCACTTTCCTTAGAGGTATTGAGGAAATTAAATGAGAATCCCGCATGTAAATATCAGGCATTTAGTGTGCACTTAGCAGGTGTCGGTGGGCCCTCTCTGCTGTCCCACAAGCCTGTGGCCTGAAAAGTAGAAAGCAGGTTGTTAAGAGGTTTGAGTCTGGGTGAAGGCAGCATAGGCCTCTGGACGAGGGAGGCAGTCACAGACCCTGGAGCGAGGAAGTCAGGGGCCTGGGCAGGTGGCTGAGCCCCTCGGTGACTGCCTTGGGCACAGGGGTCTGCACCCGCCTCAAGCCATGGGCTCAGAACCTAGAATTGAGCCGCCACGTGCCCTCACAGCTGGGGTCTTCCCGCAGGTGGAGCTGAAGAGCCAGGAGGCTCAGAGTCTGCAGCAGCAGCGGGACCAGTACCTGAGCTACCTGCAGCAGTACGTGGCCGCCTACCAGCAGCTGACCGTCGACAAGGAGGTACTGCAGAAGCAGGTCCTGCTGCACTCCCAGCTCGCGGAGCAGCAGCAGCAGGAGGAAGCCCAGAGCCAGGAGGAGGCCAAGATGGCCCGTCAGGAGCTGCAGGAGACCCAGGTGGGGGGTTGGAGTGCTGGGCCCCTGAGCCCTGAGTGGGAAGGCCTGCAGCCTGTGTCCCTTCTCACGCTCTTTCCTGGCCCCTTAGGGGCTCCTGGAAGCTGTCAACCAACAGAACCAGCAGCTACAGGCCCAGCTGAGCCTCATGGCTCTGCCTGGGGAAGGTAATTGGAACTGCCCAGAGGGAGAGCACAGAGCCCAAGGAGGGGGACTTTTAGTGGCACAGAACTGAGTTAGAAGAGACCTTTCGACAGAGTCCTTGTCCTCCGGGGACTGGGCTGCACAGCGAGCGGGGCAGAGTTGGGTCCCGAGTACCTTCCTTGGCTGCTCCACTTCCGTTGTGGGGTTGTCTGAGGACCCTTTGGCTGCCCCCAACAGGAGAGGCACTGGATGGGGAGGAGACAGAGGAGGCGGCTCCCCGGCCAAAGCTGAGCGTGCCGGAGGACCTGGAGAGCCGAGAGGCCGTGGTGAGCTGCCCTCCCCACCCCTCCCCGTCCTACTTCCCGGACACCCTTCTTACCTCTCGGTTGCTACCCTCCAACTTCCCTTGATTCCCAGCCTGCCCTGGGAGCCGATGGTCAGACACCCATCCTTGAATCTCAGGGGTGTCCAGAGGCCCTGGGAGGGGGAGCTCCTCTCTGCCTCTGCCTCCCGCTTGTCCTGAGCACCCCTACAACAACACACACGCACCTCTTGACTGCAGGTGGCATTTTTTAACACGGCCTTAGCCAGCGCCGAGGAGGAACAGGCGCGGCTGCGCAGGGAGCTGAAAAAGCAAAAGCTACACTGCCGGTGCCTGGCTCACCCGGCAGCTCCGCCCCAGCACCAGCTGGAGGAGACCACAGCCCCCGGTTCCGGGGGCCACAGTGTTTCTGCGGAGACCCACCAGGCCCTCCAAGTGGCCATGGACAAGCTGCAGGTGAGTGAGTCCATCCAG